CATGAAAAAAAAAAACAGAAAAGGACAATTGAAATAGAATTTGCTTTTCACGTAAATGGCAAAGTATTGTTGAAAGAATTTAATTCACGGAGCAGTCTGAATGTGATTGTATGATGATCATACTTGGAGCTGCCATTATAATCAGACAGTTTGAGAAGGATTCCAAGTGAAAATTGTAGATGTCATTAAAAAGGCTGTTGCTGTTTCAGTGTATAAATGGATATCGAATGAGTGTCTTCAGGTCTTTTCTTTTTCACTCATGTAAAATACAGAGGGGGGCAGGGGAAGTACTTTAAAATAAGACACAGTACCAGTTTGAAGAAAGAAAACAGAAAAATAACCAGGAAAAATAATTCACGTTTCCTAAGTATTACCCATGTAAATTACGTGAACTATGCAGATAACCTGTTTTTATATTCTACAAACTTACTCCACAAACATTTCGCAGTAAAAGTACCCCTACTCTTCCACTCCTAGAGATTCTAAAGCTACACCATTGTCTTATTTGCAATTTATTTGCTTTAAACTGCTTTATCTTTGAGAGTTTTTGAAGTGTAACCTGACTAGCTGTTACACCTTCAATGCACCTTATCCCAGCCACTGCTCCTTTAGTTCAGACTGTAGTCTAAAATTCTCACAAATAAACCATTATGAGGTTTTTCTGCATTGTCATACTAATAGTTTCCTCTCCATTACCAAGGAACCTTTAGCCTGCTGTGCAAACAGTCATTTACTCAGCTTAATTGGTGAGATTTTCACACAGAACCACTGAACTTATTTTTATTATATACAGTAGTTGTTGATTAACATGTTTTCTATTATTTCCATCAAGGCTGTTGCTCAATCAATTGCTCAGATAGGTCAGCCTGATCAAATGAAGCAAACACAATGAATGCAGTCACTGGTTAGTTTATAACTAATGCATTTTCAGTCATTATATTTCCTTTTATGAGTGCAATGTCTTTTTTTTTCCTCATTGATTGCTGGTTTCTACTCCTCAGTACTGCTATACAAATTCGGAGCTGAAGTTTAATTTGTCTTGTATTCCCTGATTTCACACCACTAGACTGTTGCCAGCTAACTTGTTCCTTTGTCTATCTCTTCTAACCATATTTCCGACAGGTGTCAGTTTTGTATAAAACAAATTGGCTCTGCTTTCTTCCATAAGTAATGAGGTTTACTAGACCACAGTGTGCTGATAGATTTTTTACAAATGTATTGTATTCAACCCATCTTCAATTCAGTTCTTCATCTTAATTCCAAAAGCACCACGATCTAGTTGAGTGAAAAGGATTCAATAAGGAAGTCCCTTATGGCCAATTCTTTCTTGTTTCAGATGCTGTAGTTTGAACACAGACCTTGCTGATGACATTTGACTCTCAATGGCTACATCTGAGCAAGCTCATACACTTTAAGTCCCCCTGCTGGTTATTCAAGCCAAAAATGCCTACAGCACATGGTGTTTAATATTTGACATTTGCTATTCAACAAACTAGCATAGTTGCTATAAATGTTGGAATCAAATGGAACGTCAAATGTTAACAATTCTCAGCTTGACAAGGAAGTAAAATTCTACACAGGATTAGATAAGCAGAAATAAATTGTCAAAAGGATTAATCAGAGCTACCGTGGTTAATGAATAAATAGTAGGTGGTACTCTGTGCATGTCCTGTAGCAAAGGATATTCATATAAGTGAAATGTATTGCCTTTGATCTTGTGTCGACAAAGGAAACATTGTTATGCTGTCATTGTATAAGTGCTACTCTGCAGAACGAGCTTGCCAGTTTGTTCCTATGTACTACTGGACATTGCTGAGCACTTATGAAGTTTAAAAGATTCAAGTTACTGAGGCTTTAAAAAAATTATAATCATATCTGCCAGCAACAAAACTAACTGAATTTTACAGCAGACACCTTCTGAGGATCTTTGAGTATCAGCATGGGTCAGTGAATCATGTTACAGAAAGTATTACTGGAGGACACAACAAATATCACTTTAGGTCTGTCTTAGGGGATTTCAAGGCTGTGGGCTTCCTAGCATCTCCCAGTAATCTCTCAGTCCATAAATAGGGCACACAGTGACAAACAATCTGCTTTACACTGGTGTAGCACATAAATCAGAAAGTGCTAGATTTATAAGCTAACAAAAATATCATACACATTTTATGTGGGTGCAATATGATTAAAAGCAAAACAATCAAAACAGCTTCATCGGGTATCAGAAGTAAACACATCTTTTAATGTTCAGAAAGGATGCAGTTAGCTGAAAAATCTCATTCTCATTTGTACAGCTATTGAAAGATGTGCACAGTATGAATGCAAATACAATAGACCATATGAATACAATAGAAATGTTCCATACAGAATCATTTTGATGCAGAAGTAATTCCCAGTAATAAAACTTTTTTGTAAATTATTCATTACCACTATGGCCAACATAATCTTCTGTACTTGTTTGGGTACCCAGTGGCACTACAGTAAACATTAATAATTCACAGAGAAATTGTTTCTTTCAGTGGACTAATGAGTAAAAATTTAATTATAAAAAAAGATATAACTACAAAGGATTGTTACCATTAAGAAATTATATCATACAGGTTCCTCTGTGTTGCTATTGTCCGTATTTTACCTGTTCCACAGTGAGAGACTAGATGTTAATTTTATTAATCGTTATGCACCAAACAAGATTTTGAACACAAATATATCACATACAAGTAATATATTTTAAAATGTATTTATTTTGCATTCTATGTCAGAGAAAAATAGAATTTGCCATCACTCAGTTGGTAATAACATTAAACAACTACCTATGGTTGTGATGCATCAATTAAAGTACGCAAATGCTATATTGTCATCTACTATAGATATGAAAGAGGTTTGTCTGATTGCAGTTGTGGACAAAGACTATTTTCAAATCCAAATCAATTTTGCTTCTCAACTTCATGCCATATGAATTTAGATTACTCTCTCATTTGAAATATATTTGTAATGCAGGTGTGTTTGTTTATAAGCAACATAGAGGAGTTATGTTTATTGAATAAGTGTAAAATAAAAGAGAGTGTTATCAATATTCTGAGACATGACATAAGCCTTTGAGTTATTGCCTATCTGAAAGAATCTGAAAGTATTTGAATGGACGTGAGAGGAAAGGAGAGGATGAAGGGGATGAATTGCACATAGGAATGGGTAGCGTGTCATTTGTGATCAGCTGTGTTCGGAGGTTCACACAAGTCAAGCTCTACTGCCACCATTTCTCCCAGTTCATATGCACGTTTGTTATTAACTCCATGGTGACAACTGTGCAGCAATACTCTGTGACTGGAATTTTTTCTAAAAAACACACAATGACTTGACTAGATTCCTCCGAGAGGAATGTCCTGTCACCCCGGTAGATTTGAACATTCTTGCGATGAATTCATTTCTTTTGCAAAATCAGTTTAGAAAATTCAGAGATGATCCTGAATTATTCTTACTGTTTATCTATTTATCCTATGCATATTACACTCATTTTAGATCATATACAATTGGATGTATGGGTACTTACATATACGTAATTGTAAAAAAATAATGTCTTACTTAATGTAAGTGGTTGCCCTTTAAATCCTCCATAGTATACAATTGGTAATTGTATCCAGCTTTAGGCAAATAATGAAACTAAACTATATTTGTAGTTCATATCTTGTAAATTGATTTCACAGTCAATCTTTTATATGCATTTCCCACTTAACTTTTGCATCAAACTAATGCTGTCTCCTCCCAAAATTAATAATAACTTTTGTTTCAAGTTTAACCAAAAACCGGAAGAGGAAAACTCAACTAATTACTATCTTATTTACAGTTTCGTATTTTAGAAATTGAAAGTCTCTCACTGAAAGAAACATTCTCAAAATGTGGTAAAGATGTGGTCATACAGACGGGACAAATCTACTCAGCAGAATGTACTGTGTGTGAGAACTATAACAGTTTTGAGGTTGTATATTTGTGTGCTTGTGTTTTCTTTTCTGTTGTTATTTGGCTTATAGTTTATGATAGAATATCTGGCAGCTGCAGGTAAAATCCAAGTAAAATCACATCATGGGTTTAGCTGATTTCATATCAGATAGCTTGTGCATTCAAATTTTTTTATATACTTCTCCTCTTTAGGAGAGTGGGGTTTTAGTTGAGTCAATGTTTTTGTCTGGCTAATTATTACATGTATCACTGCTGGACATTACAGATGATCTTAATTTTCAGCAAGATGAATGAGAAGGAAAGTTCTCTAGCTTTTCCCTTGCCTTTAATGGAACACTGATGCATGACGAGAGGCTAAACTGCTGTAGTTGTACCTGTGCTTGTGACTTGTAGAAAGTGAAACCACAATATAACGTTTCTGAATGTCTTAATGCAATTCACAACTTTTACCACACAGGATTCTCTACAGTATGCTCACCTTATTAATTACAACAAGCACACAGTGTTTACATGTTCTATGTTAAACAGATCTTCACATACTTCTTCTGCCTGCATTTGAACTTCTTTACCTAGCTATTTCCTTTTCCTGTCACGGCTGGAAAAGTTTGACCGAATAGTGTTTTCTACATGGAGACTATTCCAAAAAAGAGAATTAATGGCAACATCGTGTACAAAACTATCTGGTTACCTTAAAAAAAAAAAAAAGAGCAGCGCTTAAAGTGATTTGTGATCCACAGAGTTAACTTGGCATAAAGAGGAACAGACAAACAGAATCACAATGCTACAGACACTAGCCACGTGAGGTCTGTCACATCTAAATCTTGATACTGCACACTTGTGCACCTCCAACAAACATACTTACATTGCAAGAAAAACATTTAAGGTTTTTGCCTTTCATTAGAAACCCCTCAGTCAGTACATCCAACCTCACAACATGTAGGTAATATATTGACTCCTGGCAATTCAAAAGATGGCACTTTATGTACAGTATACAGTCTATTATTATTAGTAGTATTATTATTGGTATTATTATATCCATCCCAACTTACCAGGTTCAGCTTTAAACCAGCCAAATGATACTGCAATTTCTCCTCTGTAGTTTTTCCAAACCTTTTAGCTTCTTCTCACCACAATAAAAGAGGATGCCCCTCTCCCAGATTATTCAGCAAGTAAATATTAATTGCCGTGAGGTGGGGGGGAACTCAGCCCCTTCTCCCCCTTTCCGTTAAGTGGCTCGTCTCTTGCTGCTCGCCTGCGCTGCAATGGGGAGACAGAGCGGTCCGTGCCGCGCTCTTGCTCTGACTGTCTCCCTCTCTCCCCTTCTCTCTGCCTTTCTCGCATTGTATTGATCCTTTCTCTCGGCTGTAGCTCTGCTTGTACAGCCTCTAGTGGGCATTCTTAGCCCACCTCACAGCAACGTTGCACTGCCACTTTCTGCAACAGGAGTGGAGAACAGAAGGATGCCGAAATGCAAGCAATTCACCTATTGAAAATGACATTTCTTTTAAATAACATTTCTTTCCAGCAGGGTGAAGCAGGAAGTCCTTGATAACATGAAAGCAACTATTACAGAAATGAGGATGCATATTAAAACAGCTCAGCTTGCCTCTTTGACACTACATGAAGAAGGTAATGTTAAATATAAGAGGCAAATCTACAGTGCTCACCACTGAGACAGCCTTGCTTGTTTTAGTGTTAACTGCACTGTTTTTCATTTCCCTTTCCCTGTTTTTTTTGTATTTGTTCAGCTCTTCACATTTACAGTATATAAAGGAAATGAACATGTAAAGACCTTTTCTGTAGACCTTATGATAACATGTTGATATGATAAAATAATATGTTGTTAAGGCTATCACTTTCTTTAAAATTGAGCTACATTATATCATTTTTTAAATAGACCTTTGTTGAAAGGCCTAATTTGGAGCAGTAATCTTTCTCTGTATTGTTGTAGACAGTATGTTAACACTGTTGTTCTGGACCCTCTCATGTAAAATAAAGCTATTGTAGTGAGTAATGTGCTAGTGTGACTGCCAGTGAATAATTAAAAGCTTAGTGAATGCAGTTTCTTTACATTATGAAGAAAGCTGGTACCATATTTTGTAAACCTCATTATGTCCTTTCTTCATTTTCCACTGTCAAGGTAAAAGAACCAGCGATTTTAAAAAAGGAAAGCCATAGCATTGATCTTCCCTTGGGCTTAATTAAATGAATACTGTTATTTTTTAAACAATAGAAAATGTCACTGAGTGTTTAGGCCTCAGGAGTTGCCTGACAATGGTATTTAGCATGCACGTCAGTTCGGGAAAACAAAATCATAGTCACCTGACTAATTTTTCAGTCTTATGTACTTTCCAGTATACACTGGCAAGGGGGGCTGATAATTGTATAGCACAAAAGCTGGGATATGGCAACTTTATGATTAAATGTCTACTGGAAAAGGGTCCCACACAAAAAAACTTTACTGATACAATTAGTTCAGGTGGGTAGCTGCGTCAGCATGCGTAGGCTGCAAAGGAACAAGTAATAGGTTTATTCCATGCTGTAAAAAAGAAGAAAGAGAACACAACGTTTCGGCCGTGGAGCCTGAAGAAGGCTCCACGGCCAAAACGTTGTGTTCTCTTTCTTCTTTTTTTCAGCATGGAATAAACCTATTACTTGTTCTGATACAATTAGATTTCATAACCCTTTTAGAGTTCCACTCTGCATTTAATCTTTACTTAATATGAGAAAGGTCAATAAGATGATTAATTAGAAATAAAAAGTACCAGAATGTCTGTGGCAAGGTATACCATGTCTTGCACCCTTTCCATCTAACTCTAGCAAAATACAGAAGTCTTCCTTTACAGAAGGTTTAATATTGCTCTGTTTTTATTACCTGCTAATTAAATTAGAATTTTCATTTTAGCTATATAGGTCCTAGTCCATATTTTGTGTAGGAGAAAACTAATAACTTATTGTGGATTTGAAATAGAAAGGAATGATGATAATGATATTTTTTGGATCTGGGTGAGTTTCTGGTTTGGATACCCCAATTAAGTTAAGGCTGCACTTGAGTTTAGTGTTAGGACATAGATCTAGACATAAAGGTTTTGCACTGGGTTTCATTTTTCAAATTAATCACTCTTTAATTACATTTGACTTTTATCAGCAAAACGTCCAGGATTGGGCATATACTAACGCCTGGGGTGGAATAAGGTTTGTCTGGTACACAGCAGCATTAATGCAGACAGTCCCTTAATTATTACATTGACACTGCTAGTCATCGAATAATTAAAAGGCTGGTTGCAGCAAAACCCTTCAATGGATTACACTGGATGAGCTGTACATTGTGGAGGTCTGATTTTACAAACAAACAAATGAAAGGGCAGGATTCAAGACGTATTTACAAAGGGAAGAGATGACCTTTTTTTGCCCTATCCTTTTCCAAAACACCTTTACCAAGACATTTTAGAAATATGAACAGTCTCCTGTTTATGATAACAGCATCATGGCACTTCTCTTGTGCTTCAATTGCTTTATTGATTACTCGCTAATTAGATGAAAATTAAAGTGTGAAAATACCTTTGCATGTGATAAACAACACACACACACACACTGGGTGCCGTGCTAAGCAGAACCAATTTTTAAGCATTAATTTCTTCATTAGAATACTATGCACTAATCCCTTTAGCAAGGTCCCGGGTGTTTTCCTTTAGTGGGGCATACAGTATATGCACCATTGAACTGATGCTCTAATCCTGCCTTATAATAGAGGAAGGAATAGAATACAGTGATGCTAGCAGTGAGATCTTCCTCTGAATCTGACTTAAAACAAGAGCTGAAACTCTGCCAAGGGAGGCAGGACCTAAAGGCCATTTTTCAAAAGAATGGTGGTGAGCCCAGTCAGGAAGAGGCATGACCAGTAATGGGTTGAGCTGAGGGTGATCAATGGTAGCTTGCGCTCTGTGGTGTGAATTAAAGGCACACAGTGGAGCTGACAGGGCAAGGGTGATGTGATGATTGATTTTAGAGTTGGTCGGGCTCATTTGATTTTTTTAAACAGCCCATTTCCAAGTCAGCATTTTTAAAGCAGGACAATTAGGTAAACAGTGCAAGAGTAATAAAACATAATGGCCAAATCATTCCACTTTATGTGTACCAGAAGTAAAAGGGGGCAAGTGTAGAATACATGCTTAGTGCACACATTGCAATGTGCAGAAATGTATTTTTCTTTAAGAAAGTACCATGGCCAGGTCAGAGGAACCTAAATAATGAGGGTTAATGGTTTATTAGGATAAGGTTCATTTTGTCCATTTTCTAAATGCTTCATCCAATTCAGGGCTGCAGGGGAGCTGGAGCCTAGCCTATCCCAGCAATTAATAGGCACAAGGCAGGGGACAGCCTGGATAGGACTTCAGCTGCAAAAAGTACATTTGTGAAATATTTGAACGTAACAAATAAAGTTTACTTCTAAACTCAGGTAGATTCTGAAGATCGGAAAATACTTTCCTTTAAAAAAAGTAATGATTGCTGCGCTAATTAAATTGCAAACACATAGAGAGATCCTTGAAAATCCAGCTTGAATGAGCTTAAGAACCACTTAAAGTATATTGAAATGGCCAGTGCTGAAGGGCTAAAATACCTGGTATCATCATAATATCATACATTTTCTATTTCGCCAATATTCTCAAAAGCCCATGCTTCAAAATTGCCGGCTATTTGTATGCCAGAGTATTCCCACCTGGAGGTTATATGGAGGATCATATTCTATTTCTTCACTTAAAATCTGCTGCTAATTGTAGAGGCAGTAAAAGTAGTGGGTCATCCCCATTAAAGCTTTTGCTTTACAGCATGTGCAATGCTTTTTAAATATGGAATAAATTTAGGTCTGATCAATTACATGCATCAGCATACGCAACCAAGGATGAAATGGATGGAAATGAATTTACTTTTCTTTTCTGATTACACTTTTTTTAATCAGTGGGTTAAAAAGTTATTATTTACAATTAATTGACTAAGTGGAGGTAGGTTTAAAAAACTCAGAAAAAGGACGCATAATGAATTGTTTTCATGTGGTATGCGGGTGTTTCTGAAAAAGATGACATTCCATTTACTAAACAGACGAATTTCCTTGTCAACACAAAGGTACTTAAAGCGTGAAACAATTATTTTTAGATTATCGTGTGAATTAAATTCTGTAAAAAATTTTTATTCTTTTGAATGCTGTTAACAAAAAATTAGCTTTTGTTTATCTGCTACTAATTACAGAATGGGATGCATCCACAGTACATCTCTGAAAACAAAGGTGTTACAGGTCTGTCAAATTATTTTTTTATTAATTGTACATTAAAGTATTTGATATTTTTCATGAAGTGCAACTATTCTGACTAAAAAGACCTTTTTAGTGGAAGGGTCATATTAATTTCTTGGATGTGCCTTTAAATGAGAAATGTGGATTTAAAATCAACACATAGACATTAAGATGTGGCATGCAAATACAATATGTAAGAAATGTTACTTCTAGTTTGATCAAAGAAGAATTTTGCTCATTTAGACACTATGTTTCACGCTGTATATTTCTCTTCAGTTTGAAAACATTTCTTTTCTCATCAATACAAACATAATGAAGGTTCCTTAGATGTTACACAACAACAGCGACTGGTAAAGATTTTTTTAAGATCATTGCACGAATCACAAAACCTAACACAAAGCATGGAAGAAATGCTGATTTTTTCCTTCCCCACGAGGAAAAAGTTTGAAATCAAAGCTTCAGGTTTGAAAGCCTTCCCTCAAAATGCGCCAGGCAATCTGTTCTCCATCTTTTCAACATTGATCAGGCTGCATGGGCTGGGAAAGATCATAAAGGAGTTGAAAATGTGTCAAGAATTGATACAAATTCAAAAACAAGCTTAGGGCTGTGAACTGCCACTATCAGCTTCCAGCACAGAGCACCAGATTACCTTCAGAATGGGAGACGGTTTTCTGTCTGTGGGTGTGGGAGTTGCACAGCTTGAGCAATCGAATAGAACTACTACTTCTGGGTCAGAGTTCACCTAGAATCCATTGGATATTTGTAAGGATTAAACTGCTTCCCCATTGGGTGCAGTAGGTATCCATGTCAACAGCTCTCCAGCAGAATAAAGTCGAGATAACAATAGTACCACAGTACCTACAATGCTGTAAGTAATCAGAATGCACATGCTCATTTCCAGTGCTTCATTTGTTAAACACCTCACGCGCCACCCTTAGATTTCAATGCATGCCACTTTTGATAAAGCATTTGAAATGGTTCAGCCTTAACCTCCAGTAATCATCCTGCGTTGTTGTCGATGTTGTTGTTGGATAAATAGCGGCATTCAGTGAAAGATAAAGC